GTTGCTGTATTTTGCATTGAACTCTATGCTAGAAACTTGTGGCAAGCGTGGTCTGAACTTATCAACACTTATTAGCTTGTGCTTCTCAGGGGTCCTGGGGGCACTAAGATGGCGACAGATCCAGGCAAGTCCTTAAGCTGCATGCTGGGCAACCAGATAACTTTACTCATAGTATCATAGTGCTTAGGGTCAGAAGGGACCTAAACAGATCATCAGGTCCAACCCTCTGCCCCAGGCAGGAACGGGTGCCAGGGTCGTATCACCCCAGCCAAATATCTGTCCAGCCTCCTCTTGAAGACCCTCAAGGTAAGAGAGAGTACCACCTCACCTGGGAGCCCATTCCAGAGCCTGGCAGTGCTAACTGTACAGTAGTGTCTCCTGATATCCAGCCTGAACCTTCTCTCTAACAATTTGTAGCCATTATTCCTAGTAACCTGGCCTAGAGTGAGTGAGGATTTAGTTAGGGAGCTTCTGGAGGGGCTGGACGTCTTTAAGTCAGCTGGCCCAGATGATCTTCACCCTAGAGTCCTAAAGGAACTGGCTGGGGTCACTGCAAGTCCCCTGGCACGGCTTTATGAACACTCGTGGTGCTCTGGAGAGGTGCCGGAGGATTGGAAGAGGGCCAACGTGGTTCCCATCTTCAAAAAGGGGAGGAAAGAGGACCCGGGGAACTACAGGCCAGTCAGCCTTACCTCGATCCTGGGCAAGCTGTTCGAGAAAATTATTCTGGCACACATCCAGGAGGGGCCAGCAGGGAGCTGCATGCTCAGGGGCAACCAGCACGGGTTCATCAGCGGCAGGTCCTGTCAGACCAACCTGGTGGCCTTTTACGACCAGGTCACTAAATCATTGGATGCAGGGGTGGCAGTGGATATAGTTTTCCTAGACTTCAGGAAGGCTTTTGATACTGTCTCTCACCCCATTCTCATTAGGAAGCTGGGGGACTGTGGCGTAGACACCCATACAGTCCAATGGGTCGCCAACTGGTTAGAGAGTCGCACCCAGAGGGTGGTAGTGGATGGGTCCTTCTCGACCTGGAAGGACGTGGGAAGTGGGGTCCCACAGGGCTCGGTCCTTGGGCCCGCCCTGTTCAACATCTTCATCAGTGATTTGGATGAGGGGGTGCAAAGCACCCTGTTCAAGTTTGCTGATGACACTAAGATGTGGGGGGATGTGGGCACAATAGAGGGGAGCAACAGGCTACAGTTGGACCTAGATAGGTTACAAGGATGGGCGGAGGAGAACAGGATGGGGTTTAACACAGACAAGTGTAAGGTGATGCACCTGGGGAGGAACAATCGGCACCATACATACAGGCTGGGGAACTCCCCTCTTGTCAGCACGGAGGTGGAAAAGGATCTGGGAGTCATTATTGACTCCAAGATGAACATGAGTCGGCAATGTGGGGAGGCGGCTAGGAAGGCCAACTGCACCTTGTCGTGCATCCACAGATGCATCTCGAGCAGGTCCAAGGAGGTGATCCTCCCCCTCTATGCGGCACTGGTCAGGCCGCAGCTGGAGTACTGCGTCCAGTTCTGGGCGCCGCACTTTAAGAGGGATGTGGACAGCATCGAGAGGGTCCAGAGGAGGGCCACTCGTATGATCAAGGGACAGCAGGGTAGGTCCTATGAGGAAAGGTTGCGGGACCTGAACCTGTTCAGCCTTCAAAAGAGAAGGCTGAGGGGGGATCTTGTGGCCTGTTATAAACTGGTTAGGGGGGATCAGCAGGCGCTGGGGGAGTCCCTGTTCCCCCGAGCGCCGCAAGGAGTGACCAGGAACAATGGTCACAAGCTGGCGGAGGGAAGGTTTAAGTTGGACATCAGGAGGCGCTACTTCACGGTCAGGGCGGCTAGGGTCTGGAACCAGCTTCCATGTGAGGTGGTGCAGGCTCCCACCCTGGGGGTTTTTAAGAGGAGGTTGGATGACCACCTTATTGGGGTCATTTGACCCCAGTGCTCTTCCTGCCATGGCAGGGGGTTGGACTAGATGATCTGCTCAGGTCCCTTCCGACCCTAGAAACTATGAAACTATGAAACTATAACCCTGGGTGGTCTCCAGTGGAACAGAGCCTCCCCCAATTCTTGCTGGTCCCCACGGGTGAGCTTGTAAATGGCCACCAGATCCCTTCTCAGTCTTCTCTTGTGGAGGCTGAATAGGTTCATGCCTTTTAGCCTCTCTTCGTAGGGCCTGTCCCGCTGCCCCTGGACCATGCAAGTGGCCTTCCACTGGACCCTCTCAATGCTAGCCACATCCCTCTTGAAGTGCGGCACCCAGAACGGGACACAGTACTCCAACTGTGGCCTGACCAATGCCATATAGAGGGGAAGGATCATGTCCCTGGACTTGCTTGTGATGCATCTGTAGATGCACAACAAGATGCAGTTAGCCTTACTGATCGCTTCCTCGCATTGGTGGCTCATGCTCATCGTGAAGTCAACAATGGCTCCAAGATCACTTTCTGCCACTGTGTTGACAAGAAGGGTGTTCCCCAGCCTATAGGTGTGTTTTGTGATTTCAGGAATATAGAGGCAAAGAATTTGTTAAAGAGGTCAGCTTTTTTGTTTGTCACAATCACCAAATTGCCAAGCCTATCCTGTAGGGGCCCCTCATTACCCAGTGCAGCCTTCTTACTTCTTATGTATTTGAACAGAGGTCAGGAAAACAGACCTTACGACAACACGCTGAGAGCTCTTTAGCATGGAAAAGCACAGACTCAGGGGTGATCTGATGGCCACCTATAAGTTTATCAGGGGTGACCACCAGTATCTGGGGGAATGTTTGTTCACCAGAGCACCCCAAGGGATGACAAGGTTGAGTGGTCATAAACTACTACAAGACCATTTCAGGCTGGACATAACGAAGAAATTCTTTACTGTCTGAGCCCCCAAGGTCTGGGACAGCCTGCCATCGGAGGTGGTTCAAGCACCTACATGGAACACCTTCAAGAGCAAATTGGATGCTTATCTTGCTTGGATCCTGTGACCCCAGCTGACTTCCTGCCCTTTGGGCAGCGGGCCGGGCTAGATGATCTTCCGGGGTCCCTTCCAGCCCTAATGTCTATGAAATCTATGAAACTATGAAAAAGGACTTTTTATTATCCTTAATTCTGGTTGCTAGCCCTAGGTCCATCTCTGCCTTGGCCTTCCTAACAGCTTCCTTGCAGTCCTGAGCAATGGAGGTGTAATCCTCCTTGGTGTTAGCCCCTTGCTTCCACTGCTTGTATATCTCCTTTTTTGCCCTCAGGCACCCCTGGATGCCTTTGCTGAGCCATGGGGGCACATTGCTGAGCCATGGGGGCCCCCCTTGGTGCGCATTGGGACTGACTCCCTTTGAGCTTGGAGGATCACCTCCTTGAGGAATAACCACCCGTCTTGGACTCCCATCTCACTGAAGCTCCAAGACCCCAATGCCTCTCCTACTAACCTTCTTAGCTTATAGAAGTCGAGGACCTCTGCCTTGCTGCTTGCTTTCGCCACCCTGCGCTGGATAGTAAATTCCAGCAGGCGAGGATAACTGTCGCCCGGGTGGTTGAGTACCCGCAGACCCCTCACCAGGTTGTCGCCTGTGGCAAGGACCAAGTCCAGCAAGGCATTTCCCCTGGTGAAACTATGCACCTCCTGCGTTAGGTGGAGGTCCTGTATCCTGGCTAGGAACCTATGTGAGCAATCGGACCTGGCTCACTGCTCCTCCCAGCAGATGTCTGGATAGTTTAGGTCACTCATGACAACCACATACCGTGACTTTACAGCCTCCATGAGCTGACCGTAGAATTCCAGGTCCAGCTCATCCCCCTGGTGAGGCTGGACCAGCTCATCCCCCTGGTACTAGTAAAAATGTACATGCCTACAGCCTTTCAGATGGAGTTTCAGACATCTAATAGGTTTAACACTCTATAAAGAAAAGAAGATTTACCCAAAAAACTCTAATCAGAATGCTGCAGTAGCTGGCTTTAGATTGGGAGAAGAAGGAAGAAAAAAGCATTTAGGAGACATTTAGCATATTTTATAAAGAACCAGTTCCTTTAAAATAAAATACCCAGCACCCTATAAAATATACATATATTGATTATGAGTGCCTTTTCTAAAGGGTTGTCTTCTTACGTACATATTTTAATGGACATTAGTTGTAAATCTCAGAATCCTTATTACCTGTACAGAGAAATATCTGAATTACAGGAACTCACTTTACAAAACAAAACTTCCCTGAAAGACCATTGGAATTTTAAGACACAGGACTTACAATAGTATCTATGTAGCTGTTGTTGTTTCCAACTCTCCAGCCCTTAAATGTAACATGCTGACATATTTTCTGGTTTTAAAAGTTATGTATGACCAAACACATAACTAAAATAAATATGATCTTTTTTATCATGCTACTGATGCATTTCATTCTAGGGACATTTTTCACTCAAACTTTTTTTGTGAACTTTCCTAGCAGACAACTGAAAATTATTTAAATGCTTTCCCCATGATTGACAGTGAGGTTCTCTCTTTATTCCCCTTCTACATATGGCAATAACTAGCTACATATGTATCAATAGGATTAGTATGTTAATTTAAAACAATTTAAATAAAAGTACTGAAATAAACTGCAGGGACTTAAGCCAGTTTTCATTTATAATGATATAAAACAAAAGTAACTCTTCTGTAGTCAAAGGAGTTTTATCACTTTAAAGATCTAGGTATGTAAAATGAGAACTGGATCCCAACTTTCTAGTCAACACACTTGTCCGTGATTATGCTTCTTTTCCTTGTCTACTACACAGCACAGTGGAACAACTGAAATGTAAATCACAAACAAAAGACAAACATAGAAATGAAGACTTTGACAGAGATCATTTTTGGTTTTTCACATGCAAATGATCATAGAATTTTTTTTACTAATATCCCATTCAGAGCAGACGTGCAAGGCATGCAGGCAGAAAAATAATTACAAAGGCGTGCACTTTTCTTTGATAGGCAACCCAAGAGATGACAGCACAGAAGAGAAAAGGCACTTACAGTTGTTCTAGAGAGGCAAGTCCTTTAAATGCTTGCCTGTCAATTGACTGGATTTCATTCTTGTACAAATAGCTGAAACAAGAAACAATCAGTAATATTAGTACATAAACTAGAGCTACATTAAGTTGGAAAAGAAGAATTAAGTTGGCACATGGAGATAGTTTTTCCAACTACACATTAGAAAACGAAACAAAACACAACACATGTACACACCAAAAATACTTTGGTTCCTCGATAAATGGTCCTCTCAACTGCTAGAAAAGGAACAGACTGGGCCCTGCAGGCCTTTATACCAGTGCTGGTGAGCTGATGTTCAGTTGACTCTGTCTTGTCCTTCTGGAGGTTCTCCAGACCCTAATTTCTTCTTGAGCTTGTGGTACGTTCCCCTACATTCATCTGGATAAACTGTAGCTTCCAAAAACCATAGGCCTTCAGTTTTATGTTTTTCTTTCTAATACTTGGTTTGCAAACTGGACCAAAAATAAAGAAATTATAGAGCTCTTTAGATTATAATCTACCAAATTTTAAAATACTCATAGATGCATGCGTTTCAGAATATCAAGCATCTTATATTTGTTTCTTCACTTTAGGGGCAAGGATGCTAGGCATGCACTGGTACCCACATGTATGCTAACCAGACTCTACACATATGAGCACCTATTTGTGTATGTATGTCGTGTCATACGTTCATCTCCCAGAGAATGAAATTAAAAACTTCCAAGATGAATCAACGCAAACATTTGTGTTTATTATGTTTGATAGGGTCTAGTTAAAGCCTTATAATATCTAATGCTACTGACAGCTAAGATAAATCCCTATGTTCTCAAAAAATATGAGAGTTTAATAGCTGAAGCCAAATATACACAATTAAATTATCAACTGTACTTTTTCCATGAAATCAGCCCGAAACTAACCTCTTTGCCTTTAATATCATTAGCTTTTGTTATCAGGGTAAATGCTGTCTTCAGTTTTTTGGCAGATTGATTGGAATAGAATTCATTAGACATCTTATACTATGGATGGCATAAAAGGTAATGCAGACTTTGATGTACTAATGTTGGCTCTCATTTTGACAACGGAGTGACTCACTTGAGCAGCTTCCTGATGATATACAGTATATTCTGGGCAGATTTGTCAACATGGTTTCCAAGCTGAAAATACTGGAAAATTCCACCCAACACACAGGATGAAATCCTGGCCCTAATAAGATCAAGGGGAGTTTTTCCATTGACTTCATCAGGGCCAAGATTTCATTTTAGATCTGTAACAGAGCAACGTTTAGGAACATCAAGTAGGCCTTATAACATTGACTTTAGGGACTTTCCACATGCAGCAGCACAATTCTTATATGTTTTGAATTTATGATTTTCAATTTATCCATTTAACCATCCTAAAAGGTGGAATAGAATCTAACCTTTATTGTCTTCCCTTAATTAACTTCAAAATCCTGGTGCACACATGAACCTCACAATTCATTTGAAAGGAGGGTACACTGTAAATGAATTGTGGTCTGGGCAAATTCAGGATTTTCACTTTATACGCAGAGATGCCATTTGCAGGTAAGGAGAAGTTATTTTGTTTCAGAGTTGCCAATTTGGGGGATCATGGTAATTAACAAAATCTCTCTTTTCATCTTATCCTTATACATTTAAGTTCCTATTTTTCCTGCCATCCAAGTATTTTACATATATAATCTTCCATATGTTCTTCATCTTGTGGATCCTTAAAGAGCACTAGTCAAGCAAGCTGGACCAGACAAAATAACAGAGAAAAGGGCAAAACAAAGTAGTGACCAGTGTTGTTTGGGCTGATGTAATGAGAACTTGAAAGATCTGCTAGCCATTCCACTGCAGACCAGAGGAGGAATACTATTTCCTATCTATCTCCTAGAGCAGTGCTTCTCAACCTTTTTTGTACCAGAACCCATTTGTAAACATCAATGAGCAGTCTTGACCCAGTGTCCCCTACTCCCGACCCACTGCCCCCTACCCCCGGGTCCCAGTCCCACAGTGTGTTGGGGGGAAAGAATGGGGGGGCTCCAAGTACCCCCTTGCAGGCTGGAATTCTGCCAGCCTGCAAAGGAAAAACCACAGGTTTCCCATGTTATTTCTCCTTTAAAGAAGAATCCATTTTTAAAGTCTGCTGATCAATTTTTAAAGTTTGTTCATGACCCTTTCATATATTCTTGCGACCAACTTTTGGGTTGCAACCCACAAGTTGAGAACCACTGTCCTAGAGCTCATTACTGGCCCTTCTGGTCTGACCTTAAACTATGCCAGGACATAGATTTATATACCCTTCAGCAGCAGTCAAAGAATACTTAAGTGACCCTACTCCATTGTGTGCTCTCTCTCTCTGAAGACCCTGACTACATCTACACTGTACACGATGCATTTCAGAGCATCATCCTCAAACACACTGTGCTACTGTAGGAGGACAGCTTCCTAACCTGGAAGAAGGTCAACCATGTCTGAGGCACAAAGATGTTTAATCAACATGGGGACAGTAAGTGACATGATCACTCATTGGTACTAATTAGTCCACTCAAAGTGCCACACAAATACAACTACTGTTTTCCTGTTAAAAAGCACCCTGTCTGAAGCAACACAGGGTGCTTAAAGATGCCTCAGTGGAGCACAGTGAATTGACTAGATTGTGACCTATAATTCATAGCAATCCACAATGTTTAAAAGGACCATGTGCTGTAACAAATATACTACCTATACCAGCCCTTACAAGGCAGAGCTCTTTAATAAAGTATCTAAGAAGAAATAGAATGACATGAACAGTGAGACAGAAAATTCACAGTAACATAGCGACTTAATTTACACAAATCTATGAAAAATCAGAACACTCTGGAGAAGAACCCAAAATGTTTAACAAGCTCTTTTAAACTCAACTGTTTCCAGTATCTGGAGCCTTGCAAATATAGTTCTGTTCTTTAACAAGCATACCCTCCAAAGTTATCCTAGTCTTACTAAAAGTGTAATTCAGGACACAGCAATATGACTAATTATAAATTCTTTAATCTATTAAAACATCAAACTATAAGAATGTTGCAAATGATGGATAAAGCACTGAATTAAAGTGCATTGAGATTATATTTTACTAGTCTTATAAAAGATTTTATACTGCCATTATTACTTGCTTTCTGTAACACCTGCAAAGACTTATGCCATTTCCAGAAACACAAGAAAGGATGATTCCTGTCCAGCATACTTCACAAAGCAAAGCAGACAGACAAGTAAGCAAACAGAGGGAAGAGATGGAGAAAAAGAGATTATATATGATCTGAGCCTTCAAGAGGCCGATAAAAAGATTCAGTGTAGAAAGCACAGCAGAAGTGGGCTTTTAAGAGGGGCTTAAAAGTGGATATATGCCATGCAGACAAAGTTTAAAAGGTCACATTACATATAGGAGGTTGTTCAAAGACAGACAGAGGTGATTGTTCAGGATGCGTGCCAGCAAGTAATAAAGAATGATAATGTTCAAAGCCAGTGATGCAAAACTTAATGAGTGAGTATAAGGAAGGAAGGAAAACATACAAAACACTAGGACTCTTGGGTCCAAAAGGAAGGAAGAAAGACTTATATAGACCCATAAAGAGACTATCAGTATAAATTTGTGATGACGCCAGATGAGGAGGTACCTGGTGGATTCAGGGGAAACTGATGTGATCATGCCATCAAACACTGAGAGCATCAACAGCTACATTTTATATGCACTAGTTAGGATGAGAGGAGAGGAGAGGAGGAGGATATAACATTAGTTTCCCTAAATTTATAAACACGCCTTTTCTTCCCCTGCACTCTCTACCTTTCAAAACCCTACCACTTATTCTATCCCTTCTGCTTTGTTAGAAGCTTTCTCCATGTTCCTGTCATCTTCATTATTTTAATGTTCTTGTGCCTGGATTCAGACCACTCACTGCTCACTCAGTTAACATGCCCATGTTCTGTTGCTGGATTAAATCTTTTCCCAGATTAAAACAGACCATTTCTTCCTTGGTCTTAATTCCTTGTTCGGCTTCCTGTCTACTGCTACATAATCAGGCCCTTTGTTTTTAATGATAAGGTCATTTGTAACCTTACTCTTACCTACATATCTATAAGGCTAGGGACAGACACTCAAAAAGCCTGAGCCTAAGCCTGAATTGATTCAGTCTTTGCAGGTTAGTCTAACCTGCTAGGCTGAATTGGTTTATAACTGCACAGACATCCCAAACATACAGGCAAAGGTCTGCACTGGCTCAGGCTAGAAGCTGGGGGTTGCTAGACCAGCCCTCCAGTTCCTTCCACGGTACTGAGCTGAGGGGGACATGGCCAGACCTCTAAAGGATGCTTTGATTAGCCCAGCAGGGAATTGATAACAGTGGTTCTAACCCCCTAAGTCAGTGTTTCTCATCCCATTAAGGAAACAAGAGGGACATTGTCAGCTAGCTGTTGATTCTGTCTGTTAATTCTACAAGGACCATAGCCAGCATGTGGTCTGCTAGCTAATACACAGATACCTCCTCAGCAAGACAGAGGGGAGGAGGGAATTCCTCCTTAGCAGGGAGTGGTGATGGGGACAGGAGGAGCAGCCTCCAGTATGTGCCAGAACTGGAGCCAGAGAGTAGAAGGGAGTGGCCAACCCTGCTGTGGAGCAGAGCCCCACCCAGCCCAGAGAGTATGCCAGGATGCTGGGGGAATCTGATTTAATTTAAGCCAGCAAGGGGTCCGAGACAGACATTGCATAAACCAGTTTAACCCAGATCAGTTAAGTCTGATACTGCATTCAACCAGGTTTATCTCAAACCAGTTTCAGCCATATTCCAACTGGTTTACGTACACTGATCATCCATTCTGTTACAGATTTAAATCAGTTTCTGATCACTTAAACCAGTTTGTGTGTAATGTCTGTCCCTAGCCTTAATGTTTTTTCTACCAGTTTACCCTGAAACTCTCACCTATCGTTTCACCTTCCACATCCTCCTTTCTTCCACTAGCTTTATTCAGTGTGCTACATTACATTAGTATCCACATCCTTGTCTCTCATATCTACAAAGGAAAGTAGTCCACTACAGCATTACA